AAAAAAGAAAAACTTTATGATACATCTATTAGCAGAATAAGGTTTACAACTGAAAAACTTATGCCTTTTTTTTCTCAGATCCAAAAGAGGGCAACTAAGATATTCATATCCGAGATATTCATGGGTAACCCTATAGGATATAATGGTTTAAATCACTCATTGCGTGAATACACTCAAATATATTCCCTTGTTAGTCCAATGTGTCTTCGTTTGTACCTTATTATTATCATTATTATAAACTGTTGTTTTTGTCTCTTTTTTATTCTTATTTTTATGTACTGTTATTGTCTTTTCTTTTGTCCTTTCATGTTTGTTTGTAATGTATTTATTATCATTATTATATTTTTTTTTCTTTTCTCCCATTTTTCTCTGTAACTTACTTTTCTTCTTCTTTATCTTGTTGTATGAATGTATAAAATGCTTTGTACTGACAGATCCTTCCTAAGCATCAGCTTTATCTGAGCAAAATAAAAAAAAAGAAATATAATTTAATAATAGTATTCAACTCAATTAAATTGCATTTGAATAATTCAAGTATTTATTTGATGCCACATTAAATTAATCGCGGTTCTAAACTAATTGAACATAAATATATATGGCATTTTTTTAACTAAGAAAAAGGTATTAGCTTCATTATGCTTGATCAAACAATAGAAAAAATATCTTAACAAATTTGAGGAACTAAACTGACAAATAAATGTTTTAATTATGTTTCAAAAAAAAAATATGCAAATAATGATTGAAAGTTAATGTAACAACTTTGAGATTCATAAGAAAATAATTAAGAAACTTTTTAGTAGACATCTTTAAACATAGCTCTAGTTGCTACATAGAGTTGTTGTTACAATGCAAGCTTTCTCAGATCGACTGAAGAAAACTATAGAAAAATAGTTTATTTGAAATTACTGTTTCAAATCCTAAGTTCTAATAAGGATTTAAACAATTTTAGAGTCAACATTTGATATATTTCTCAGAATATGTGATCAAAATTAAGCTAGAGGATGCTAAGATTCATAAAAACGACTAGTAATTACTCAAGTTAATATTAAATACTAATTCAATAGATAACTAAATGCTACATTGGGGCTTTTAACACAGTGTTTATGTGTTCAAAAACTCTCTTCAATATATTAAAAACTTCTTCCAACATTTGAAAATAAAGTCATTAAGAGTTATCCATACATAACAACCATTACCGAGTAATCATGTGATGATGATTAGAGTGATTATTTTTAGTTTGTTGTTTGAAGATTTCTCTTCAAACTTGTAGGTAAATATTGCATAGATTGTTTCCAATGTGGCAAGTCATCCTAGAATGATCGTTCTCGTACCCGATGTTCCAGTAAGTTTCCGTACACTTAGCCACCGATTTACACCAATAAATTCAGGAAACAATCGAACATTGAAGCCAGAACATTATGCCTGTGTGTGATGATTTACTATGCCCAACTCTGGATGCAATCAGTCATATGTCAACCACTTACAATATTTAAACTATTAAAAACCTTTTGAAGATAATGTTTTTCTGACTTATAATAAGTCACTTATTAAATGATAACCTAATTAAAAATCGAATAACATAGTGTTGACACATTTGTTATTATTTTTTTGATAGAATAAACGGAGTTCAACACATCAAAGAGCAAATAGAATCGCTCTTTACTTCTTCTGATGAGTGTGAAAGATTATATCAATTGTAGTTTTGACAAAATTCACTTCAAAAATAGTCATTTCAAGCGTAAATCTGATGTTTCATTCGCGTATAGTAGGTAAAAATATATATGTTAATATTTAAAACCTATCTTTGAAAAGCTTTAGGATTATTAAGCTTGTTAGTCTCAAGAATTTTGCCATCGATAGTATCTCAAAATTTCTTACAGATCTTCTAAAAGTTGAGATTTAGTGTATCCAGCAAAATTTGCTGAGATCATATATTCGCCCCACAAGCGCAATAACAATTATAGATTCATCAAATATAGGATATATATGTACAAAAAAAATTTTTGAAGTTCTTTTTTGAAGTTTTATGAAAAAGAAGATACTTGATTTGTAATCTTAAGACTAGTTAAGAGCTATAGACAAGACTTTGAACTATCTGTTGGTGAAAAAATCCTCAAAAAGATATTATATTAAACGTTGGAAAATTAGATTTTAATAATTATATACAAAATAGCTGAGATTATAGATTCACCCCAATAGCGTCATCGAGATTATAGATTCCATCCAAGTGAGGTGAATCTAGAATAGAAAAGTAGTGCTCACAGAACACCTTGTAGATAGGTGTACTCACAAGATTTTGAGAAATAGATTTCACCAATCGATAGAGGAGAAATCCAGCTAGATGTCTTCTGAAGAAAATTTTTCAAAAAAACAAAACAACAAAGTTATAACTAGGATGTGGCGTCCACGGGGTGCGGGAAGGAAGTGTGCGCACTCCTCCACTTTTAGAAAATTTTCAGTTTTTCACAGCTAAAATCGTACTTTTATTTAAAAAAAAGTGATACAATTAAGAAAAATAGTTCTGCACTCAGCCATTTTTAAGAAATCGCACTATATACCTTTTTTTAGCTCTCAAAAAATTCTCTTGTAGTCCCACTTTTTTCTTCGTCACATCCCTGATTACAAGCAATATACGTGAGTTCACTACTTTTTTTGTCTAGTCTGTTTCGAGCCTAAGTTATAAAGAATACACTATTTGATAAACATTTCAACAAAACAATGATGACGTGACGAATTAACAACCAATGAACGACAGAAAATGTGAAGCAGGAAGAAAAATAACATTCTTTATGATTGTCTAAAGGTCATCACATTCAGATTCATTACTCATTGTTCTCATAGACGGCAAGGAAGCGATAAACGTTCATATATATATATCTATATATATATATATTAAAAGAAATCAATATATAGCAATAGTTGGTTATGAATACTTTAAGAAATAACAGTATTAATATTCTCGATTTGCCCAATGAAATATTATTTAGGATTTTCAACAAATTGAAAATGATCGATGTACTCTTTTCATTAGTGGATGTCAATGAACGATTTAATCGATTAGTATTTGATCCTGTTTATATTAATAACCTTGACTTGACCGTAAAATCGTCGATTAATCATATCCCTTCAACAGATACTCAAATGTTTGATAGAGTTTGTGAAAAAATCTTACCACGAATTTATCATCAAGTAAAGAAACTCATTTGTGAACCACATTCAATGGAACGCATACTTTTTACTGTTGATTATCCCCAACTGCGCTCGTTATCGCTTGTTAATTTTCAAAAAGAAACATTCTTCCAGTGTTTAACAGGTATACTATTTGATTTTCTTCGCTTTAACCAACTAAACATTGTTACATATGATTTGATGATTATGTGTTCTTGGCTACATCTTGATTGCGAACATTTTTTTTTGTCAATCAATGGAAAATATCTGGAAAACAGAATCTCATAGAAAAGTCAAAAAATGACGACAAATCGAAAAATGTTCTCATTGTAAAAGTCAGAGAAAATTTCTTATATGAAAGCAAATCAGTTGTGAAGGGAAGTTTAACATTTAATTATTCCTAGATTAAAAATAAAGATCATCTTTGTCAGTAGCATCGAATACGATGATCTATTGATAATAAAAAGAAAACATAGTGTCTTCTACGAACTATCGATATGTAAGAGTTCTTTTGAATATGCTTTTTTTACTTGAATGAAAAAAAGATCATTTATTCTTATATTACCCTTTCAGGATATGTCGACTTTATTGAGCTTGTTCTTTCTGAAATTGAAAAATTCTTGATTCTTTTGATCTCTAAATATTTTTAATCAAAGCTCACTGATTTCGGTGTATTTAACAATGAGATTTTTATTAACTATAATAAGTTTTGACAGTTAAATACATTCATGTGGAACACACCTCTGAATAAAAGAAATGAACGAGGTTATCTGTAATGTTTGATACTAGACTAATTCGAAAGAGGTGATATCCTCTCTTCAATTGAGATAGTTGCACTGATTCTCTAACTATATTGGGTGGTCGAGAAAAAAATGGATAAGTTTTTATGTGTATTTTTGTCCGCTATGGTCTCGATAATGTGTTTAGAATTTCTTATGAAAAAGATGCGCTGTCAAATTTTCTATAAAATGGTATGAAAGACAAATGTGCCGACTTTAGAATAATAAGTGTTATATAATGAAAAAGAAAGACATGCAAGGCATGAATCTTTCTAACTAGTGAGTGTTGCATTAAGAAAATGGTGATCCTAATATTTTGTTAATTGTTCTCGCTTAATCTTAAACGTTTTGTGAAAAAATTCATCGAAGAGTTCTGAACAAAACGATATATTTTCCTTAACAACTATACCTTCTTCCATCATTGTAGTACTATATGACTGAACAACAGCATTACTCAAATTATTCACTTTTTTTTCAAATTTTCTTTTTGGTTCACATTTTCACTGCTATGTCCGGACGTTTTCAGCTAGCCATTACAATTATAATGTGCTAATTAATATTATCTCAAAACGAGTTACTTCATGTAATTTGCTAAAATTGTATTTTCAGAACGGTACGATGACATAATAATATAAATGTGAGCCAAAAAGAAAGTGGATCATTTGAGTAATGCTGTTGATCAGTGCTATAGTACTACAACGATGGAAAAAGCTATAGTGATTAAGGAAAATGTATTGTTTTCTTCACAACTTCGATGAATCTTTTCGCAAAAAGTTAGGATTAAACGAGAACAATTAACAAAATATTAGGACTACCATTTTTTTAATGCAACACTCACTAGTTAGAAAGTACGATGCTTTACAAGTCTTTCTCATTATGTAAAACGTATTCTAAAGTTGACACATTTCTCTTTCATATGATAATTCGAAATACATTATCGAGAATGTAACGGACAAAAATACAAATAAAAACCTATCCATTTTTTTTTTGGATCACTCGATATTTATTTTTTATATTCGCCGTCGCTTTCGTCTGTTCTCACAATTCTGATTTATGAGCATTTCCTTTGAATTAAAGAAGCATGTTTGCAATGAAGAATACACGGTTTTTCTCTATATTTCAGGTAGTACAATTCTTCGTTCTCTTCTCACTAATCAAATCACACATCTGAATATTGAAATCAAAGATGAAACAATAGCTGAGTTATGTAATGAAAATAAATCAAATATATTTCCATTCATATTATCTTTAAGTAAACAATTAATCGATTTAACATTTTCTGAAATGACATATACGCAACGTTTGGGAATTTCAACTTTCAATCTCTCATTAACAAGTTGTATATCTTCAACTCTTATTAAATTGAAAATTGATGTTAATACCTTTGATGATTGTCTTTATCTTCTTGATGGACGTCTCGAATGTTTATCCATATTGATCGTCAAGATACGTGAAATTTCTATGTCATTATCAAAAATAGATAACACTGTAAGTTCATTTGAATCATTATATGTGAGAAAAAATACTAAAGTAAGAACATAGACAATATTAATTTTTTTTTTACTTTATAGAGAAAACTTCTTAAATTAAATCACTTTTCATTAATATCGGTTCTTCACACAATATTTTATGACGCACAAGTTGTTCCACTACTTCAGCGAATGACAAATCTTGAAGAATTGACATTATTTATTTCAGTATTAAGAAGTGAATCGACTTATATTGATGGCAATTATTTTTATGATGAAATTCTTGTTCATATGCCACGACTAAACAAATTTACTTTTAATATAATCACTGAAATTGTTAATGCAAATGTTGGAATTGTTTTTCCATTAAATGATGACATTCAATTTAGTTTCAAGAAAAGAGGATATCATCAAGTTGGTTCGTATTCCGACTATAATCCAACGATGGGCGTAGCCAAATGTCATGTCTATTCACTTCCATATCAATTCGAACTTTTTATTATTCTGAATAACTTTTTTCCAGGTGGCATGTTCAATAAAGTTCGATACTTAACAATGAATGATACAAGTCCATTTGAACATGAATTATTTAAACTAGTGTCTCAAGATTTTCCTTATCTTGAAAATTTATATATATGTAATTTCTGTGCTCAAGAAAACAAACAAGATTCATCTACATTGATTGTATTTCCTCATCTTATTGCACTCAAGCTAGGTAGATCACATATAAATTATGCTGAACAGTTTCTCTTCGAAAAGAACACTCGTTTGCCTCGTTTGCGAAAACTCACGATCAACTACAAAACACTTGAAATGGTAACAGATTACTTTACCAATGATGCAATGCGTCTTAACTGTGCTAACTTGCAAAGTATTGATACAGATGGGCCATTTGTTCGTCCAAAAAATTTTCATCAATATTTTCCTTTATTGTAAATTGTATGTCTTTTGTTAAAGTTAGTTTCAATAAAGAATATTTTGAGAAAGTTGATTACATATTTTTGATCATGATATAGAATACTATTAATACAAATGATTTTGTTTGTTAATAATTGGAATTAATTCCGAACAAAAGGGAAAAGTAGTATTGTATTTAAGGGGGAACCGCCCCTCCGAAAGTCAATTTTTCTTGAAAAACTCGATTTTTTGAAAAAACACATATTCTAGTAGGTCTGGGTGTTCTCTCTCAGAATATGCATCAATTATATAAGAATGGAACATATTTTACCAAATTCTGGGTCGTTGATTGAAAGTCATAGTGGAACATCGACTGTTGTGTTGATTTTTTTTTCTTAGTTACCGGTAATTAATATCGTTCCATCTTCTTTATCAGCAGTATAAAACCATCGACGTATCGAGTAATCATGTTCTAACTGTTGCAGTCAGAGAAGGAAGTTTCAAAATTAGGTTATTTTTCGAAAACGTGGAGCTACAGTAAACTTGGATTTAGAAATTAGCTTAATTTTTCTTGAAAACATCATCAACTGCAAGACCTTTTTACACACTTTCCAACAATATATAACATGCTTCAATTTTCCACACAGGATCATCATCAACTACTTCGCAATGTTGTTATTCGTTTTTCTCAGCTTCACTTTTTTATCGCTTACTGATCACTGCGGAACATTTTTCCAGTCCACTGTTTGACGTACGCTGCTGATATTCTTTTTTTATTCAAAAGATGAGACTTTTTTTCTAGAAATTGTTGGAACAGATTTCTAAAATATATCTCCGTTGTTCAGATATTTGAAAATCTTTGAAAGAGATCAAAGTAGTTTTTTCGATTTTCGATTTAAAATGATCACTACTATTGAACAAAGATAAATTTCAAAAAACTGTTCCTGCAATTTCTAGATAAAAGATTTTTCTTCATTTTGAAACAAATTTCAACATTTTCCATGCTACCACGCCTCGGGAAAATGTTCCATGCCAAAAGCCCCATTTTCATGAGTAAATTGAGTATAACTCCTCAATTATCAAAAATGATTGGTTCAAGTTTTTATCAGATGCTAGTTACATTAGCTTTTCTATTTCCTGAAGTTTTCATAGAAATCTCTTGAACCATTTAGAAGATAGGTTTCGGAAGGGGGAGGGAAGGGGTTCCCTTAAAGTCCCAATGATATTAAGATGGATAGAATTCTCCGTGATATGAAGCGTTTACTTATCCGACATCACTTCGCATATTGACGTAAATCATGGTGTTGAATTCCATCAGATATATACTATAATTCGATCCTCGTATGTCACAACATCTGATTGGATTTATTCACCTGAATGCGGAAGTGCAAAAGTTATTTGTTTTACACTATTAAATATAAATTATTGTCTTTTCTTGAGACAAGATCGTTGTTCTGTACTTCTCATTCTCAATATTTAATTGTGATCCAAATTTTAAAGATCATGATCAAATGACTTCATTATATTTAGCTATAAAACGAAATAGTCCACATATTGGTCAATTCCTTTTATCTGATCAACAAGCTGATCTCAATATAGTTGATCCTTATGGACAAACTTCATTACATGTTGCAGATAATGTTGGTTATATTGAAATAGTTCGATTACTACTTTTATCAAATCTTAATGAACCATGTGATCCAACTATGGTTGATTCTCAACAATTAACAGCATATGAACAAGCGAAAGCTAATCATCACGAAGCATGTGCTAAATTAATTGTAGAATATCAAGAAAAATGGTTAAAACAAATACGACAATTAACATCAATATCAATAAATGAGCAAACATCTATAAAAGCAACAAGTTCAATATCAATGAATTCAGCAGCTAATCTTCAACGTCAACATGATGAAACAAGTGATGATTTATCATCATATTCAACAAATAAACCATTAAAATTTTCATCGAAACGAATAAAACGACCAAGTGATCAATGGTCAGATGATAATATTCATTCAATAAATCAATTAAAATTCGAATCTTATGATTTAACAAGTTTATTGATAAATAATCCATTATATACAGATTCAAAAAAGAGCAAATCTAGTACATTTAAGTCAGTATCATTCCTTCTCATATACTCGATTGTTGAATGTTAATTATGTTTTTTTCTTTTTTATTTAATTAGCTCAACAAACCCAATCATCATCTTTCTTTGGCATCGGACCTGTATCTGAACGTAAGGATAGTGATAATACATCAACAAGTATATCGATTGATAAACCAATTAAACAAATACCAACAATTTCATAAACTAAACCTATAACATCGAATACAAAAGTTAATAATAATGTATTAAATAGAAAATATTAGTCAGATGATACAATAACAACATCAGTGAAAAAAATTCTTCCAACAAGAAAACAAGAATCAAAAAGTGATACATGGGATACATCACCATCGGATGATGAAAGTGTTTCAATAGCTAAACATATATCATCAAGTTTACGTAAAACATTACTATTTTCAACATCAAAAAGTAATCGAACTAATTCAGATAGTGATGTTAATCCTGTTGAAACTGAAATTCGAAAATTGGATATAAAAAAAAATCATCGAATGAAACAACGACTGTTCAACATTTAGTTAATAAACAAATTGGAAATGATTATAAAGTTACCGAATTATCTCAAGTTCAATCACCATTAAGTGAAGATTCTTTATAGACACCATCACCTTTACCAGCTACTAATAAAGAAACAACAACAAAAGGACTTAATAATGTAGTAGAAGAACAACAACAACAAAAAACAGATGAATCAACATGGGATGATTCTCGACCATTAAGTGTTGATTTAAAAAATTCAAATTCAATTCGAACAACGAATTTATCTGATGTACAATCAAAAGGAATTGAAAATTTTGTCAAAATTATGGATACAATTACTCATTCATATAAAAAACAGTAAGTTCAAAAATAGATTAAATCAAAAAATATATTAACTTTATTTTTTTCATAAAGACCAACATCATCAAATATTATTGGTAAACTTGTCGTATCACCAATGATTGAACGTACTAATTCTGCATTATCTGAAAATATTTCACATGAAGTAGATAACGACGAAGAATATGAACATATGAATTTCTATTAATAACGGGTGGCCCATAAACTATGGGACACTTTTATTTTCTTTTTTTTGAAGGCTGAAAACACAGTTCAAAGACTATTCTAAAGAGAATTTTTTGCTTTACAAAACTGTCGAATTGTTTTTTCCAATCAGTTTTTCTTATGGGCGCAAAATTCGAAAGACTCACAGCTACTCAATTGCAAAATTATGACACACAAACAGAAAAAATGACTAAAACAGTTCGGTTCTGCCGAAATTTGATATATGCTACAAGATATTCCATAAAATTCTAGATTCTTCTACCTTTTGCAATTTCTGAGAAAATATTTGTGACAATAGCTTTGAAGTAAAAATGCGAAAACACCGAAAAAGATTCTTTTCTGACCAGCTCGTGCTCTCGTTTAGTTTTTCATTGGGAATAATCTAAGAATTTTTATTGTTCAATTTAAATGTTACATTATTTTGTTCAATATTAAATTCTGCATTCGATAGTATAATAATGAACATTTTATAGAGCACCTCTGACTTTTGAAAGTACGAATTTTGAATGTACATCCAAAAGAAATTACTACACAGAGATTCATTCTGAATGACATCATCAGAAGCTTTGAAGAGATCATCAAAGAATAGAACATCGAATTCTCTATCTATTGATTCTAAATACTTCACAGATTTGGCATTCGACTTGATGAACACAGGCTTGTACAAATAGTTAGATATCTACAGAAAATAACAGGATATCGCAGTTCCATACTTGAGTAGTTGTCAGTCTTTCCAGTTTTGCGCCCATAAAAAAAAAACTCTTTGGACCAATCAATTCAACAGTATTGTAGAGTGAAAAATTCTCTATCGAATGAGCTTAGAATGAAGTCTTTGAACTGTTTTTTCCGTCTTCAAGAAAAAAGAAAATAAAAGTGTTCCATTCTTTATCGATCATTCATTATTTTCTTAACTTTTAGAAAGCTGGAAAAAGAAAACTGAAAAATGATCTGTTACATCTCCGAATGACCATAATGTTAAAACTTTATAACAATTATCACATTCATCATTACCTTATGATGTTAATAATTTACGTAGTTCAATATCATCAACAAAATCATCATTTAATGATGTAAGAAAATTTAAAATAAAATTCATTTTGTTTTTGTTTGCTTGTTTTTCGTTAGGCACAATTATATGAATTAAAAGAAAATACAAAAAGACTTGAACGTAATCAAGAAGATACACGTGAATTAAAACGACAATTAAGAGAAATAGAAAATTAAAAAAAAATAATTTTAAAAAATTATATAAAGAAAATCATGAAATGTTACGTGAAATAGAAAATAAATTAGAACAAGAAAAAACTGAAAAACAACGTTTAGAATCGACAACAAAAAATTTAAATATCGAACTAATAAATGTTAAACAAAAACTTCAATTATTAGAAGATGAAAAAGATTTATTAAATCAATAATGTATTAAATTAAAAGAAGTACGAGACTGTCATGGTAAATATTTGTTTACTAGATATGTATATAGGATGAGAAATCTCAGACTCTTTTTGACATCAATGGTATACTTATTTTGTATTGACAATTAGCGTGATTCGCAAATAGAAATGTCATACGACTTTCCAGAATGACATTCTACATTCAATTGTTTTCCTTTTCTGCGTCACTTAATAATTTAAATTGTCAGTTATTTATAGGATAATATTCTTACTTAGTAGATTCCATCAAGACTGTATTTTGAATTCGATCCGATTTAAAATAAATATTAATGTTCGAAACGAATACTTTTGAATTGACAATTACGAACATTTCTTGTTCATATTTAGATGAAAAATTACGTATGTTACACAAAGGAATAATTTAGAATCAACAACAAATTCCTATCTTGATGATGATATGGATAAAATAAAAATTCAACATCTTCAAGAAATGAAATAGTTATTAGATTAAAATGATAATTTACATTATCGTACAAAACAATTAGAATCTGATTTATAATTACATAAACAATCACTTGATGTAAGTGTACATTATAAAATTGATTTAGCAGAAGCTTTAAAAAAAACATTTTATCAACATGAATTAGATCGTTAAAAAAATGAAAAAGATCGTATTGAACAAGAAAAAACTTGAATATAAAACTAAATATGATAATTTACAAGAAGAAATACGTTTGATTTTATTTGATCGTGCTAAACTTGAACAAGAATTAATAGGTGAACTACAAGAACACATACAAGAAAAACAACGATCAACAGAAGATATGCAAAAATATCGATTAAAAATTGAACAATAAATATTAAATTAGCTGATGCTGAAGCACGTTTACGTGTTTTACAAACAAAAAATCGGACATTATTAGCATTAAAAGATCAACATATAAAAACTGAATTTGAATCACTTACACAACATCTTAATAAAGTTGAATCAGATAAATTAGATGTTGAACAATGTTATCATAATCAACATGAAGAAATAACAGATAAACAACAACATTCACTGTAAGAGTCATTCAAAACAATTCAATAATAACATGTAAGACAAAAATAGAATAGACAGGACATAAGTTCAGAGAGATTTCTTCTGGCTAAAACTCTTCTGCTATTCTGCATTTCTCACTGAAAATTTTTTCTTATAGTATTTGTCAAGTTATGAACAGCTTCGATAGAAAATGGTTCGTAACTATTCGACTCTGAATTGAGTTTCTTCATTGATGATTGTAACATCTGAAATTTGTCATTGTTTCCTCATACTTTATCATCAAGGATCCGAAGCCAACATGGATCTAAAGACTAATTCAGCTTTTGACGAGAACTTCTTTTCTGATCCGACATTGGACGTAATCTCAATTTGGACACTGACATAGATATTTTTGCTGTTAATAATTGAAAGAAAAATCAAACTTAGAATGAGTAATAGTATTGAAATATTAAATTCATTAGAAATTCCAAATGAATGATGATAAGCTTAAGTTGTTTAGATCTGTTATAAAATGATCTATCAATCTATTGAATTAATATTGATTTTTGTTTTAAAATAAAGGAAAATTTGCTTCTCTCAAGCAAAAGAAAAATAAATGAGAAAATACGATTTTTTTAAGTGCAAGGTAAATAGCTTGAGCAACTAAA